TATTAGGGCCAAGTGAAGATAAAAAAATATATATCAAAAAACAGCGATGAGTGGTGTTACTTGGATTCTTATTTTTTGCACAACATTACTTTAGAAAAGTGGCAATATTTTGAGAATAAAGTCAAAATTACATTTTGAGAATAAAGTGGCAATATTTAGAGAATAAACTTGAAATTTAATTTAGAGAATAAAGTCAACATTTTGAGAATAAAGTTATATTTCAAGATTAACGTATGGGATTTGGTTAAGTGCATGTCTCCCTGGTGCTGCGCATGCCACTGTTGAAATGCCAGAGCCAATTTATGTTTTATCAAAAAAATGTGGTCGGAGGCACCATATGGATGGTGTGATGCAATTGCAGAGCCTCCAGAGGCATGCAGAGGCCAAATTGAGCTCCATAGGGCATCACTGTGAGCAGCCAAAATGTTGTAACAATGCAGAGGGCTCCATATAGCTCAGCATTGACATGATTGGTTGACGGTAGGTGGGGGCGAGAGGTCCAGTATGAACATAAACTCACTTTCTTGACAACTTCCTTCACAACAGCAAGAAGTATAAAAGGCTCTGCATGGTCAATCCGATGTCTGAAATGGCCGTACAGCATTTACTGTGATACATTTACCGCACAAACTCAGAAATCAGAATGATGGACAGCCACATATTTAGCTTACATTGTTTGGACTAAATCATTTTTGTTGTCACTGTATTAGACTAAGCAAAGGTGATTTGATGATGTTGCTATCCGGTTTTGTGATAAAACAAAGGTGTGGTTGAATTTATTCTGCCACTGTGTCTTATTGTCTCGGCCTTTAGGCCTATATTTCACAGCCGCAAGGCATATGAATTAACAGGTTATAAAGCAAACAGCGCAATTATCACAATGCATAGGTTTTAATATGGCTTTTCTTCTGGCTTCCCCTGTGATTTTACCCTCGCACCGCTACTGGGCTTCAACTTGCCATCCGAATTCGCTACAACGTTCTGCTGCATAGCCTATGCGAACACCTTGCAAAAAATCTGTGCATAATGGATACTATTAAGTTTCAATGTCACATGCACAAGTACAGTTAAATGCCTTGTAAACTCAAAACCCAACAATGCAATAATCAATAACAATGTATTACTAGAAAAAAATCACACGAGAAATAATAAGAAATCCACAATAAAGTAAGTAAGCATACCTTATACAGGAAATATTTAAAAAGTCAGTTCCAATACCATATTTACTTGTGCAGGGATACTGGAGAGTTGGAGGTAGATACAGTTGAAGTCAGAAGTTTACATACACCTTAACCAAATACATTTAAACTCAGTTTTTCAAAATTCCTGACATTTAATCCTAGTACAAATTCCCTGTCTTTGGTCACTTAGGATCACCACTTTATTTTAAGAATGTGAAATGTCAGAATAATAGTAGAGATAATGATTTATTTAAGCTTTTATTTCTTTAATCACATTCCCAGTGTGTCAGAAGTTTACATACACTCAATTAGTATTTGGTAGCATTGCCTTTAAATTGTTTAACTTGGGTCAAACGTTTCGGGTAGCCTTCCACAAGCTTCCAACACTAAGTTAGGTGAATTTTGGCCCATTCCTCCTGACAGAGCTGGTGTAACTGAGTCAGGTTTGTATGCCTCTTTGCTCGCAAACGCTTTTTCAGTACTGCCCACAAATGTTCTATAGGATTGAGGTCAGGGCTTTGTGATGGCTACTCCAATACCTTGACTTTGTTGTCCTTAAGCCATTTTGCCACAACTTTGGAAGTATGCTTGGGGTCATTGTCCATTTGGAAGACTCATTTGCGACCAAGCTTTAACTTCCTGACTGATGTCTTGAGATGTTGCTTCGATATATCCACATAATATTCCTTCCTCATGATGCCATCTATTTTGTGAAGTGCACCAGTCCCTCCTGCAGCAAAGCACACCCACAGCATGATGCTGCCACCCCTGTGCTTCACGGTTGGGATTGTGTTCTTCTGCTTGCAAGGCACCCCCTTTTTCCTCCAAACATAACAATGGTCATTATGGCCAAACAGTTCTATTTTTGTTTAATCAGACCAGAGGACATTTCTCCAAAAAGTACAATCTTTGTCCCCATGTGCAGTTGCAAACCGTAGTCTGGCTTTTGTATGGCGGTTTTGGAGCAGTGGCTTCTTCCTTGCTGTGCGGCCTTTCAGGTTATGTCGATATAGGACTTGTTTTACTGTGGATATAGATATTTTTGTACCTGTTTCCTCCAGCATCTTCACAAGGTCCTTTGCTGTTGTTCTGGGATTGATTTGCACTTTTCGCACCAAAGTACGTTCATCTCTAGGAGACAGAACGCGTCTCCTTCCTTTCTGAGCGGTATGATGGCTGCGTGGTCCCATGGTGTTTATACTTGCTTACTATTGTTTGTACAGATGAACATGGTACCTTCAGGTGTTTGGAAATTGCTCCCAAGGATGAACCAGACTTGTTGAGGTCTACAAAAAAAAAATCCTGAGGTCTTGGCTGATTTTTTTTTATTTTCCCATTATGTCAAGCAAAGAGGCTGTAATTATTTATGCATAGTCACTTTAACTCTACCCACATGTACATATTACCTCAACTACCTCAACTAGCCGGTGCCCCCGCACATTGACTCTGCACCGGTACCCCCCTGTATATATAGCCTCCCTACTGTTATTTTATTTTACTTCTGCTCTTTTTTCCCTCAACACTTTTTTGTTGTTGTTTTATTTTACTTTTTTTTATAAGAAAATAAATGCATTGTTGGTTAAGGGCTGTAAGTAAGCATTTCACTGTAATGTCTACACCTGTTGTATTCGGCGCATGTGACCAATAAAATTTGATTTGATTTGAAGAGGCACTGAGTTTGAAGGTAGGCCTTGAAATACATCAGCAGGTACACCTCCAATTGACTCAAATTATGTCAATTAGCCTATCAGAAGCTTCTAAAGCCATGACATCATTTTCTGGAATTTTCCAAGCTGTTTAAAGGCACAATCAATTTAGTGACCCACTGGAATTGTGATACAGTGAATTATAAGTGAAATAATCTGTCTGTAAACAATTGTTGGAAAAATTACTTGTGTCATGCACAAAGTACATGTCCTAACCATCTTGCCAAAACGATAGTTTGTTAATAAGAAATTTGTGGAGTGGTTGAAAAACGAGATTTAATGACTCCAACCTAAGTGTATGTAAACTTCCGAATTCAACTGTATGTATAGGGCTAAGGGGACTAGGCAACCGGATATAAGATAAACAGAGTAGCAGCAGCTTGCATGTGAGTGGGTGTGCAGAGTCAGTATAAACGACTTTATCCATGGTCAGTGGCGGCTCCTGAAAAAATTCTCAGGGGGGGCAATTTTTCTGATGATTTAGGTGACCTACACACATTTTAAAAAAGATATGTCCAGCAACAACATGAAGACAGGGGCAGCATATAAGTCAATACCAGAAGCATTTATTGACTGATCTCAAAAGTGTTGGCTTACCAGGGTTGGTGGAGCCCTCAGTTTCATCTTTGCCTCGCAAAGCTAACTCAAACACTCCGCAAAACTTCACACACTGGATTAGCCGGCTGAGGATGTGGCGGTTCTTGCTAATGTCGTAGTAAATATATTTGTTATAGTGAATATGGAATATGATATGTTGAGTAAAATGTTGTGCTAAGATCTATTTAGGTCAGGAGCTGGTTATAAGTTCTGTTCCTATCCAATAACAATGGACAAAAGGGTCCTATCTTGTCAGCCTTGTCAGTTTCAGTTCTCCAGTAAACTTGTGATTATCAACACTAACCTCATCGTTGTGGCGGCGGACAGCTAGCCTGTATCCCTCATCCAGTTGAGTGGGAATGTTCACTCTCCCCAAAGCAGACAATCTCAAACAGCTATCCATGTGGGTCTTTGACAGCTCATGTTTCTTAATCTTTCCTGAAAGATGGTGCATGTCCGTTACACACCAGTCGCTGTCCAAGCGGTGCTGTCTGCCGTGCCGCCTTCAGGGTGAAAGAGTAAGCAGGGGGTAGCAGAAGACTGCATTAGCTACATCGCAGCCTGCTAGCCAGGTTTTTCGTTCGTACCAATTTTTGGAAAATCCTCGGGTGTAGGACTTCCCCCCTTTAGTAGAAACCTGTTGAATTATTAAATTTGGTCTGGGAGGTCCTAATTGTTTCGTTGCCAATTTATCTTCATTTGTTCGCCGACAAAAAGGAACTTCTTTCAAAGACACAATCGAGTTGCACTGAAGCCTAGCCATTTTGATAGAAGTAGTGAATTGATTGACGCTGCTACCCGCTCTTTTCTTAGTTACGTTCATGGTTATATGTTACGTATGACGAAAGCGCGTAAGTGCAAGCCCTCAGAAACCCATAGAGATTGTATTGAAAGCTCTGATATTTGAAAAAAATAGATTTTACATGGGAGTCTATGACAGACTTCTGGGCGATTTTCAACCTGACTGAAATCGCCCCAAAAGGGGGGGGGGGGGGCATTTGAAGCACGACTTTAGCCTGATTGGACATTTAGTGGCACTGTGGCAGATCAGACGTCTAGATTACAACACTGATAACTACTGTTGCCGTGATATAATTGATTAGAAAAAAAATCCCTTCCTTTTCCCGTTTGGCAGTGCGTCGCCCATATCGCCCTATTGAACACACCGCCCCTGTCCATGGTGCTTTACTAACAGTCATATTTTCCCCTTATGGCACACCCAATACAACGAATTCTCGTGGGATCCTGGAGACAATGAGTCTGTATGTGGCCCATGTTAGCTGCGCTCCAAATTCGCTACAAACAACCTGTTGGTAGTTCATGCATGGCCAACAGGAGTCGCAAAACGCAAAAGAGTTGCATCTGGTGTGATATCTACACATTTGCTGCAGTTCAAAACTAGATATGTTCAACGGTATTATTTGATATAATTAATACAGCCCACAAGTCAAATTTACTAGAGCGTCTGCTAACTACGCGGAACTGAAGAGCATTGTGCTGCATGTTTCAAGGGGGACCTGTTTACAGTCGCACGGACCCAATCATTTCCCGTTTCTGAACTCAAGCATAAACAACGCTGTGTGGCCTATATAGTAGATTAGGTAGTTAGTTTATTCGTCACCTACCTATCGAATTTAGGCTGTTCGCATTAGCGGACATAAAACACGTTAGCTATGCCTCTGTCTGATCAAGAACAGAGAGGCCCCAGAAGACGACGACGGAGCCGATCTGGCAGCGGCAGTCGATCTCGCGACTCCAGTCCAGTCTTTGGGCCCATGCCCAAGGGCCCCAGATATGAAGAAGAGCTTAAACCTCCTCGAATGTCCGAGAGGGAAAGAGAAATGAGAGAGAGAAATGCCAAACGGTTTCGTACGGAAAACCCCCGCAGTCGTTCTAAGTCTCGAGAGAGGTACAGTAACCACAGCTGGTCCGATCAGCGCGGTGGCGGCGCTGGCAGATACGGAGGTGGTGGCGGCAGGAATGATTACTACGAACGGGATGATGCTCAACGCCAGAGACAAGACGCCTTCATCTCCAGGTAAATGGAGTTCGCGCGCGCAAGTTAATTAGTTACCACCTTGTCTCAGCTGTTTAGACCTATTTATGCACAGCTAACTACAGTCGTGGTCAAAAGTTTTGAGAATGACAAGTATTGGTCTTCAAAGTTTGCTGCTTCAGTGTTTTTAGATATGTCAGATGTTACTATGGTATACTGAAGTATAATTACAAGCATTCCAAGTGTCAAAGGCTTTTATTGACAATTACATTAAGTTTATGCAAAGAGTCAATATTTGCAGTGTTCTTTTTCAAGACCTCTGCAATCCGCCCTGGCATACTGTCAATTAACTTCTGGGCCACATCCTGACTGATGGCAGCCCATTCTTGCATAATCAATGCTTGGAGTTTGTCAATTTGTGGGTTTTTGTTTGTCCACCCGCCTCTTGAGGATCGACCACAAGTTCTCAATGGGATTAAGGTCTGGGGAGTTTCCTGGCCATGGACCCAAAATGTCGATGTTTTGTTCCCCGAGCCACTTAGTTATCACTTTTGCCTTATGGCAAGGTGCTCCATCATGCTGGAAAAGGCATTGTTCGTCACCAAACTGTTCTTGGATGGTTGGGAGAAGTTGCTCTCGGAGGATGTGTTGGTACCATTCTTTATTCATGGCTGTGTTGTTAGGCAAAATTGTGAGTGAGCCCACTCCCTTGGCTGAGAAGCAACCCCACACATGAATGGTCTCAGGATGCTTTACTGTTGGCATGACACAGGACTGATGGTAGCGCTCACCTTGTCTTCTCCGGACAAGCTTTTTTCCGGATGCCCCAAACAATCGGAAAGGGGATTCAGAGAAAATTACTTTACCCCAGTCCTCAGCAGTACAATCCCTGTACCTTTTGCAGAATATCAGTCTGTCCCTGATGTTTTTCCTGGAGAAAAGTGGCTTCCTCGCTGCCCTTCTTAACACCAGGCCATCCTCCAAAAGTCTTCGCCTCACTGTGCGTGCAGATGCACTCACACCTGCCTGCTGCCATTCCTGAGCAAGCTCTGCACTGGTGGTGCCCCGATCCTGCAGCTGAATCAACTTTAGGAGACGGTCCTGGCACTTGCTGGACTTTCTTGGGCGCCCTGAAGCCTTCTTCACAACAATTGAACCTCTCTCCATGAAGTTCTTGATGATCTGAAAAATGGTTGATTTAGGTGCAATCTTACTAGCAGCAATATCCTTGCCTGTGATGCCCTTTTTGTGCAACGCAATGATGACGGCATGTGTTTCCTTGCAGGTAACCATGGTTAACAGAGGAAGAACAATGATTTCAAGCACCACCCTCCTTTTAAAGCTTCCAGTCTGTTATTCTAACTCAATCAGCATGACAGAGTGATCTCCAGCCGTGTCCTCGTCAACACTCTCACCTGTGTTAACGAGAGAATCACTGACATGTCAGCTGGTCCTTTTGTGGCAGGGCTGAAATGCAGTGGAAATGTTTTTTGGGGGATTAAGTTTTCATGGCAAAGAGGGACTTTGCAGTTAATTGCAATTCATCTGATCACTCTTCATAACATTCTGGAGTATAAGCAAATTGCCATCATAAAAACTGAGGCAGCAGACTTTGTGAAAATTAATATTTGTGTCATTCTCAAAACATTTGACCACGACTGTAGTATCAGTGCAAATGCAACACTTGACCCACACTAGATAGCTAACGACAAATTGTTTCAAGGATTTGTGAAGTCCTGTTTAAATTGAGCCAAAGCAGAGATGACCTCCTGGGCTGCAGATTGTTGGCTTTTGTTCCAGCCCAAGATGCCTATACACCTGACTCAACCAATCACAGCCTTGATCATTTGATTCAGGTGTGTTAACTCTGGACTAAGTGGATTTCAGGCTATTGGAAATTGCACATCCTGTGCCTCTAGCCTAGGACAAAGATTGTCTATTATATTGACAAAATATTCGATTAGTTTATTAGTCACATGCACAGGGTCGCAGATGTAATTGCAGGGTACAGTGAAATTCTTAAGTTATTCGAGCGACCACTAACAATGGAAATACATGTCCTCAAAGATGGAAGGGAGGCGAGATCTTCTTCTATGGTAAATTGGCGATCGCACAATTTAATGTGCATCCGCCACCTACTGTGCGGGATGGAAACAGGATTCCCCAAAATTGAACAAAATACCAACAAAAAAAACGACCAAAAAAATAATAAAAACTAAACTAAATCAAACAACCTTTCTGTTAAAAATCAAATAGATCTGACACCTACACAGGCTCAAGGGGAGCCTGGGAGGGTGGGTCTTCCGGCGCCAGTACCCCTTGCAAGTCTTCAGATGTAAAATCCTTAAATCCCCAAAACTTTTCTGCCACAATAATGTCCAGTTTCTTAGACTTCTTTGAGACTTGTGCTGTACAGTTTAACTGTCAATGAACGCCACAAAATCCACCGTTTTAACACACAGGGTATCTTTTGACTGGCAGCAAACATTTATTAGAAGCTGTGGTGCATCCACTACCATATCTTCACTAGCATCACTTGTTTTCTCAATTATTTTAATCGCCTCTGCATAGGAGATTCGATTGACCGCTCAAAGTTTTGCCAACTCAATCTCCTTCACCCTTACAGGGCACTCCAGGAACTCGGGGATCATGATCCCAATCACAATTGCAACACCGTCGTCATTCTACACACCGTTCTTCAATATACTCTGTCTGTCTGCACACACTTCAAACATGGCCAAATCCTTTACAATTCTTACACTGCAATGGTTTGGGGACGAAAGCTCTTACAGCGTATCTTACATAACCAAGCTTCACATGCGTAGGTATTTGCTCTTTATCAAAAAACAACAGGACCGACAGACTTTCTTCTTTTTCTCCATTCACCCAGCAGGTCAGACGCCGGGCACCAACCACACCAGGAATTTTCTTCAGGTATTCAACCTGAACATCCGTCGTCACCCCTAAGATGACTCCTTTGACGGGTGCTCTACTCCGAAGTTCAAAACACAACTTCTGTTGTTCTGATTCTTTTGAGGCTCACTGCAATCTTCCTCTGTTCTTCAGAAATACAATTAATCAAAATAAGACCATTCCTGGTCACTCTGATAGACTCCACTTCTCCCAGCGCATACTTCACAATTTTCGACACCTCAAACGGGTTTCCCACATATGCATCCTTACTCAACAAACACATCCCAACAACAAGCGATTCATTATCATTCATACACAAATCTTCCACTCCAATTCTAAACAATTTCCTTTTTGTTCCAGTTTTCGCTACTACTGTTGTCCATTCAGAACATTCGTCTTCACCAACTTTGCTTGACGCGCTGCTTGATCCGACCTCAACATCCACTTCTGCCATCTTTGTCCTGAACGGGAACCGTAGTCCCAGGAGGCGAGATGAGGTGGGACCATTCTCGCCAATGAGAGGGCAGATAGTGTGAACAACAGGCCATAGAGATCGATAGAGGAATGATCTTTGCAGTACATTTTCTGCTTCTTCATTAGCTGATTGCACCGAACTCATAGGAATCCTCACCCAGTTGACTACTTTAAATGGTGGAAGCCCTCAATGGTAATGTCCATGCTAAAACAGGTTATATCCATGATGAATCCTATCCATCTCTATGACAACAGGCACAACTCCAATATAAAGTAGTTTTTGGGTAAGTTGCGAAGTGCCACGTGAGTCCACTTGTATCAGTATATTTGTAACAACCTAACCATTACGAAACTTCTATTAGATCAAATAAGCCTCACATAGCAAGTTAGCAATTACATTTTTTGACCACCATACAAAAAATCCTCACTTCGTGGGCTTGTTTTTGTGGACAGATTTTGGGTGGAGAAAAACCTCTTGCTTCGCCTCTTCCTCTGCCTAGGGCTACGATTGGTCATCACTCAATTGGTCACAAGGTTTAATGTATTTCTTGTATATTTCTAATGATATGAATTTCATTCCAGGCGGCTACAAGAGAGGGAGAGAATTGGTGAACTTGGATCACCTGAGGTCTGGGGCTATTCACCAAGAGTAATGGCACCAGAGTAAGTAATTATCATGCATCTGATCTGACTAATCAAGTACAAGAGTTCCAAGAGTTGGGCTATACACACCAACTATCAAATTATCCACGTTTAGATCATTTTGTGTCCTTTTTCAATAAGCTCTGATGAACATACCCCAGTTGAAGAGGATGTGAAAAACAGCAGCTCAGATTCAAGCTCATCAGGTGAGTATGCTGAATTAGCCTTTTATAATGAAAGTCTGTGTTCTCAGTTAGCCTACATCTGACTGAATGACATGCATTGACTAGTCAAGAACAAAGTGTAAACTGGGCATACTATATTACGTAGTAAGTCAAATGTATGTTCTGATTACACCCTTGAATTGGCGAGAGATCAAGACAAGTGCACTATAATTCATAGATGATAAGAAGAAGAAAAAGAAGAGGAGGAAATCCAAAAAGAAGAAGAACAAGAAACACTCCAATGACAGCGAGTCAGAATCGGACTCTGGTGGTGAGAAATGTTTCACCTTAAAAAAATGTTCAATTCAATTACAAAGGCTGCTTGTCCGGCTAAGTTTATTTCACCCTCTAATTTAGTTTTCTTTCAGGTGAGGAAGTTAAAAAGAAGAAAAAGAAGAAGAGCAAAAAGTAAGTTCACTCACGTCTACTTCCTACCTCTAGTCAACCGTCCATAACGAATACATGACATACCTATACACTACAGCGTTTTCCTCAACCGTGTTTTGGCTTCTCCTCATAGGTCAAAGAAGTCCAAGAAGAGGAAGGCGAAGAAGAACCGCAAGCAGTCAGCGAGCGACTCCAGCAGTGACGGGTCGGAGGAGGAGGATGCCAACGGGGATCTGTGGGTGGAGAGGACCTGCATCGACGAACACATGGTGGGCCCTGAGGCCCCACTCACCCACCTGTCCCAGGACGACAAGCCTCTCGAGTGAGTATCTCTTTACATAGAAGGATCTTTCTTACATTCAAGAATATGACCCAAGTTTGAGTCTGTCGCTTGGTACAACTTGCTTCCACATTTTGTCAGGATATTACCACACTATATTCGGCTTTTAAAATGCAGGTCTATTCTTTTATTTTTTATTATCAATAATAACAATAATAATATCAATGAATAGCCAAATGATTTACATACCGTTTCCCCCTAGTTTTGGTCATGCACTGCTGCCAGGTGAGGGTGCTGCTATGGCAGAGTATGTGAAAGCAGGCAAGCGTATCCCAAGAAGAGGTGAAATCGGGTTGACCAGCGACGAAATCGCAACCTTTGAGATGTCTGGCTTCGTGATGAGCGGTAGCAGGTACATTAGTACTCTTCTGTTTACATTTTGACGTTTCAAATATTTCATATTTTACACATTTGGTTGACTGCTTTGTAACGCTCATTGCAATTTTGTAACCCCCAGACATCGTCGTATGGAGGCTGTGCGTCTGAGAAAGGAAAACCAGATCTACAGTGCTGATGAAAAGAGAGCCCTGGCATCTTTCAACCAGGAGGAAAGGAGAAAGAGGGAGAGCAAAATCCTCTCCAGCTTCAGAGAAATGGTGTACAGGAAAACTAAAGGCAAAGAGGAGAAATGAACCATTTTGTTTCTCTCCTTTCAGAACTTTAAGCTTCGGAGACCTTTTTTTACCAACATTATCTTTCGTTGTGTTTAGTTTCCAATCGTTTCATGATTTGATAATGTACTTTCTTTCCTCTTTGTATTGGGAATTAAGCCTATATTTTAAGCATCTCTGACACAGTGGACTATTTTGTTTATGTAGAAAGTAGTCAGAAAGTGAATATTGGAAAGTGCTTGTTTTTCTGGGGTCACAAAGCAAACACAAGAATGGACCAGGCAGCTATACTTAGTGTATAGAGGCATTTTGTATTATGCTATTACTATATTGTGCATCCCAACAAATCAAATCCAATCCATCCCTGAATCTATTGATGTAACTTTTAATGTTGGAAATGTGCATGTAAAATCACAGGTTACATGTTCAGAATTAATAAATCATTTTAAAATAGTGAGGTTTTATGCTTTATTTAATAGGTAAATTGAGTTGTTTGATTTTCTCTGGGAAATGCATTTGAGATATATTGGTTATTATATTCTACCTTGATTTAATATGGTTCACCTTTTTATTATTCAAAACATTGATGCCAGGAAACTGATGCCAGGGAGATAGTACAAATAGTCTCTAGACTGGAAGAATTGTAATTCTTTGGCACAATGTGCTTTAGGAAGCGGAAGGAAATTGGGGTCAATATAGCAATGAGGGTTTGTTTAAATGCAAGCTTCCAACCATCTCTTGTCTAAGTATCCTACTGTTTTGTTAGCTGCAGCCCAACTGCTGGTAAAGGCCTAGCACTGAAAACCAAACCAAGCCATTCATCTTGTAAACAACATTCAAATGTCTGGTGGTAGGAGACCGGTTCATAGTTCTACCCTACTACAACCTATTTTGTTTAGCTATATTTCTACAGAAGTGCATCTCTGTACATAAGACACTGGTGGTATTGCATTTCAAGGAAACCATAAGGCACACACCCTCCTCATCTCAAACTATTTTTGATTTCTTTATTTAAACTTGATTTGATCAGGGAGTCATTCTGAGACAAAGGTCTCGTTTACAGATGAGCCCTGAATTGCAGAAATTACAGAAAATACACACATCAAAATATAAATACAAAATGCAAGCAGAAAGAAAAAATGGCCATAAAAAACAAACACATTCATCAGTAATAAGGTCCTCAAACAGCTTTCTGAAATGCCCTAGAGGCACCATAACATCAGATTTAAGGACATTTTGAACATTGTTCCACAAATATGAACTAAAAGCTGATTTACCTAACTCGGATACCAAAGGAATTTCCAGAGTTAGCCATCCCTGAGACCGGGTGTGGTAACTCATGTCTAAAGTCTAGTAAAGATGTTAGGTACAGTGGGACTTTTTGTAAAAGAGCTTTATAAATGAAAACATAGTGTTGAGTACTATAACTGACTTTAATTAAGTGGCAGCCATAGTCTAGGACCGATAGGAACGTCTACTGAATAATCTGCTTTCTACTATTTAGCGAGAGGCATGACCTATTTCTATACAAGTAGCCCATTTTTATTCTCAGCTTCTTAACTCATGAATATGCTTTTTAAAAGACAGCTTTTCCTCAATCCAGATATTTGTAAGCAGGGACACAATCAATATGGACACCATCTAAAGTACATTTTACATTTTTACTCATTTAGCAGACGCTCTTATCCAGAGCGACTTACAGGAGCAATTAGGGTTAAGTGTCTTGATCAAGGGCACATCGACAGATTTTTCACCTAGTCAGCTCGGGGATTAGAACCAGCAACCTTTCGGTTACTGGCACAACGCTCTTAACCACTAAGCTACCTGCCGCCCCGGCATATACTTATGAGTTATTTTATGCGCTCTATAGAACAACATATACTTAGTTTTACCTGCATGCAATACTAATTTCAGGTCAGTAAAGTTTTTATGTAATACAATGAAGGCAGACTGTAGTTCAGATACAGCCTGGTCAACCATGGGGGCAATAGCATACACAACAGTATCATCGGCTTTCCAGTGCAGGTAAAACATTTTTTTTACAGACAAATCAATATTGTTAATGTAAACAGTAAAAAGTACAGGACCCAGAATCGACCCCTGCGGGACACCTTTCATAATATCCAGGAAACCTGATTTAACACCATCAGCAGATACACATTGAGTTCTATCTGTCAAGTAATTTTTAAACCAGTTACATGCAGCCTGGTCTAGGCCAATTGAGGAAAGCCTCTGAATTAGCAGTGAGTGAGCAACAATATCAAAGGCCTTTGACAGGTCAATGAAGAGGGCAGCACAATGTTGCCTTTTATCCATACAGTTAACCACATCATTTATAACTAGGGATGCAGCAGAGATAGTGCTATGACCTGGTCTAAAACCCGACTGATGTACATTTAGAATACATTCAAAGATAAGAAAGCTCTTAGCTGAGAATTAATCAAGGTTTCTAATATTTTAGCTAGGCAAGAAAGTTTAGAAATAGGGAGATAATTATTTAGGTGACAAGGGTCACCACCTTGGGAAGGGGGAGTACATGGGCCACCTTCCAAACCTTGGGGATAGTACCAGATATAATTGTCAGGTAAAAAATATGGGTTAATGATTCAGCAATCGGGGGCAGAGAGCTGCAGCAAATATGGATCTAGCATATCAGCCCCAGTGAAGGAATCTAGCACATCACAGGTAGTAAACTGTTGAAATGAAAACAAAGATTCACTAGAAGTTGACGGGTTAACCGCCAAGTCAGCGAGAGGCTGGCAGAGGGAAGAGCAGTCGATTGACCAGGGTCAATTAAACCACAGTTTCTCTAAAATAAAAATCCTGCCGAGATAAAATTATGATTAGAAGCATCACTTATCCCATTCTTCTCAGTTATGATGCCAGAGTCAGACAGAACTTGCTTAGGCTGGGAAGAAGAGGAATTTGTACACTTCAGTGCATTTACTGTTTTTCTCAATTTTGAAGGATCGCCAGCAGAGATGGAACTTAAAAGGTAGCTTGATTAAGCTTTCTTAATCGAGATAGTACATCCCAGCAACAAATAAATGTGTATTCTGGTTTATGGACACATCTACAACCTTGGGAACAGAAATATTTAAGGGACGCCATGAAATTAGATTTTACATATATGGACACTCTTTCCCCTTTTTGTAATCTGTCACATCTAAATACATTATAATCATTTACAGTGGGGAGAACAAGTATTTGATACACTGCCGATTTTGCAGGTTTTCCTACTTACAAAGCATGTAGAGGTCTGTAATTTTTATCATAGGTACACTTCAACTGTGAGAGATGGAATCTAAAACAAAAATCCAGAAAATCACATTGTATGATTTTTAAGTAATTCATTTTCATTTTATTGCATGACATAAGTATTTGATCACCTACCAACCAGTTAGAATTCCGGCTCTCACAGACCTGTTAGTTTTTCTTTAAGAAGCCCTCCTGTTCTCCACTCATTACCTGTATTAACTGCACCTGTTTGAACTCGTTACCTGTATAAAAGACACCTGTCCACACACTCAATCAAACAGACTCCAACCTATCCACAATGGCCAAGACCAGAGAGCTGTGTAAGGACATCAGGGATAAAATTGTAGACCTGCACAAGGCTGGGATGGGCTACAGGACAATAGGCAAGCAACTGTTGGCGCAATTATTAGAAAATGGAAGAAGTTCAAGATGACGGTCAATCACCCTCGGTCTGGGGCTACATGCAAGATCTCACCTCGTGGGGCATCAATGATCATGAGGAAGGTGAGGGATCAGCCCAGAACTACACGGCAGGACCTGGTCAATGACCTGAAGAGAGCTGGGACCAGTCTCAAAGAAAACCATTAGTAACACACTACGCCGTCATGGATTAAAATCCTGCAGTGCACGCAAGGTCCCCCTGCTCAAGCCAGCGCATGTCCAGGCCCGTCTGAAGTTTGCCAATGACCATCTGGATGATCCAGAGTAGGAATGGGAGAAGGTCATGTGGTCTGATGAGACAAAAATATAGCTTTTTGGTCTAAACTCCACTCGCCGTGTTTGGAGGAAGAAGAGGGATGAGTACAACCCCAAGAACACCATCCCAACCGTGAAGCATGGAGGTGGAAACATCATTCTTTGGGGATGCTTTTCTGCAAAGGGGACAGGACGACTGCACCGTATTGAGGGGAGGATGGATGGGGCCATGTATCGCGAGATCTTGGCCAACAACCTCCTTCCCTCAGTAAGAGCATTGAAGATGGGTCGTGGCTGGGTCTTCCAGCATGACAACGACCCGAAACACACAGCCAGGGCAACTAAGGAGTGGCTCCGTAAGAAGCATCTCAAGGTCCTGGAGTGGCCTAGCCAGTCTCCAGACCTGAACCCAATAGAAAATCTTTGGAGGGAGCTGAAAGTCCGTATTGCCCAGCGACAGCCCCGAAACCTGAAGGATCTGGAGAAGGTCTGTATGGAGGAGTGGGCCAAAATCCCTGCTGCAGTGTGTGCAAACCTGGTCAAGACCTACAGGAAACGTATGATCTCTGTAATTGCAAACAAAGGTTTCTGTACCAAATATTAAGTTCTGCTTTTCTGATGTATCAAATACTTATGTCATGCAATAAAATGCAAATGAATTACTTAAAAATCATACAATGTGATTTTCTGGATTTTTGTTTTAGATTCCGTCTCTCACAGTTGAAGTGCACCTATGATAAAAATTACAGACCTCTACATGCTTTGTAAGTAGGAAAACCTGCAAAATCGGCAGTGTATCAAATACTTGTTCTCCCCACTGTACTTCAATGTCTTTATCAGAGACAGAACCATTTAATCATGTTTCCGAGAGAACAAGAATGTCAGGACACGATTCCTGTCAAAGGTTTTAAATCATACTTCGCACATTTAGGTGCATTAGCCTACAAGATTTACAGTTAGAGGGGGTATTCAGCTCATTCCCATAAGAGCTAACAGGCATAGGGTCATCTGCAGCTATTTGTTGAGTGAGCTGAGTCTTTGCCAAGGTCCCTGGCCAACCACGTGAGAGCAGAGCAGACTGAGCATTTGACATACCTCCATCAAGTCGCTGGATACAGGGGCTGGGGCGGGAACTGGGTGAGCAGTGTTGGCAGAGCTCAGTCTACCCGGATGAAGCTCCCTCCAAAGGGATGGAGCTGCTGCAGAAGACTGGAGTGGCTGCCGATGCTCCATTCTGGGTGTGCACAGGAGGCCTTGGTGTGGCTCCTGTTGCAGGGTTGGGGCTGCCATGGGGGGCAGGACTGTCCCCAGCCTGTACTGGGGATGGGAGTAGGGAGGGTAATCAAAACTAGCCTGGGAGGGAGGTTGTGGGGGGAATTGAGGAGGGTGGTGCGGAGGGCAGTGTGGCTGGCGAAGCTCCAAACTCTCAGCATATGAGGGCTGATGATGGGAATGATACATGGTGTGGACTGCATCATGTGGTGCACTACCCTCAACAG